TTGGCTGTTTGAAACCTGGAGCTTATGCAGGGACACTTGGCTCAGGCTGGGAGGAAGAGACTGGACCTGCCTGGACTGAGTCTACCAGGTTGATTGCAGTCCTGGGGGAGGATTTGCCCTGGAGGAGGTGGGAATGGGAGGTAGGCTGGGGGTAAGGGGAAGGTGTAGGAGGGGGGAGAATAGGGGAACCCGTGGCTGACATGTAGAACTGAATGGTATTGTAAAATAAAATAAAATTAAAAAAAGAAAAAAGTAGAAAAGCTCAAATGACTACACAAGTTAATTTCTTATATACAACAGGATAGTGTTCAAGAGTCACCTTAAAAAAAATTGGGGTGGGCCTGAGTCTGAAGTGAACACCTTGTTCATGTCATGCAAGTCTTCCCAATTTACCACTTCCTATATACAAGTCTACAGTACAGATTTGAAAATCATCATCATAGTTTTCCTTAGCCTAAGTTTTCACTCTTTGGAGAAGAAAAATAATTCTTCAACAGCTAATCAATGGTTAAACTTGACATTTAAAAATAGTCTTTTAATTCTAATACCTATGTAATCCTCCGTCTCTTTAAGTTACTCTTGAAATCAGATATTCACCCAACCTCCAGAAGATATTCAGAGTATACAATCAATTTCTCTTCTTCATTCTGATGTCCAGCATTTGAAAACAAAACCTTGCTCAATTTCATAACAATTACCTTGTGCTACAGTCACTGATACCTTACAGAATATTTTTTCTCATTATTTCAGCAAGTCTAAGCTCTGTTTTGATCCTTTCTAGTATGGTCTAAAGCAGAAGGTTCTGGAGACCTAAAGTATCCAGTGGTCTCTTAAACTCCCTGGAATAGTGATAACACACAGAGATGAAAGGATTACATAAATGTGAGGCAAAAAAAAAATAGTAACCTGTGAAATGTAGTGTCACAGTGACTTTGGTAATGAATTTTCCCCTACATTTACAACAGTAGCAAAAGAAAATGTCTTCTATTTGCATTTTGAGTCATGGAAAAATGACATTTTAAAGATTGTTTTTTCAGCTTTTTAATTTATGTGTATATACATCTGTCTATGTGTGGGTATTTATGTATAGAGTACAGTGCCTGTAGAAGCTGGGAGCTGGAGTGACAGGCAGGTGAGAGCCACAGGATCTGGTGGTGGGAACTGAACTGTGGTCCTATGGAAGAGCAGTACACACTCAGAACTGCAAAGCCATCTCTCCAGTCCCAAAAAACATACTTCGAACCAATCACTCAAGTTTTTACTAACCCTTTGAATAATGTGTTATTCAAAATAGGTGATGAATTATTAGATACTTTTCTTTAATTCTTGGGTAGTTTTTTCCAAATAAATTTTAACAAAAAACATGAAGCAGAAGTGTAAGCCCCATTTAAATGTAACTATTAGTCATAAACTTTTTGTGGATGTTTTAATGTAATTTCTGATAAGACCATTTAATGATAAATTTATCTTAAACTTCTTAGTGTGCATATTGACAATGTTTTTACTTGTTTTATTTTGTTTATTTAGTTACATTTTAATATATTTATGTAATATATAACTTCCAAGTTAACATCATGTTAATTTTGCCTAATAAATCTTGGTTAATCTGACCCATATCATGTCAGTTAGGTTGAAAGACAGTGTCTTACAGATAGTTAGACATTATATTTTTTTTACTTGTTTACTTGAAACTACAATGTTCTTTGGGTCTTCATGGCTGCATCCTTGGACTCTAATTTGACAGTTGGTGCTTGTTTTTCTTTGATTATTTGTTGTTTTTGACAGTATTGGCATGATACAAGCTAGAGTCACTGGAGAGGAAGGAGCCTCAGTAGAGAAAAATATCTTCATAACATGGGAGTGTAGGCCACCCTGTAGAAAATTTTCTTAATTAGTGATTGACATGGGAATCAGCCCATTATCGGTGGGGCTACCCCTGGCCTGGTGGTCCTGGGTTCTGTAAGAAAGCAGGCTGAGGATGTGAGGGCAATCTGGCTGTGACATCTGTCATGCATTGATCACTAGGGTTTATTGGGCTGTTCTGGCTGGCTAGGTGGGTGTCTGCTTCTTTCTTCACCACTCCATGTGTGTCCCTCCCAAAGCTCCCTGAATAGAGGCAGAGAGAACGCTAATTGGGAATGGCATGGGAGTATGAGGGTCTGCATTGGATGTTATCAACTACCAGTTCCAGGCCAGTGTAATAAAATAATGTCTTAAAATAAAGAGTAAAAAACAGAGGTTAAAAAATAGGCTTTGGGGCCTAGAGATAGGTCACTGGTGAAAAGCCTTTGCTGCTCTTCCAGAGGACTCAAGTTTGGCCCCCAGCAAGTCCTGTGGTATTGTGTTCTGTGGGCTGCGTCCTGGAAACTTGACTGGGGTGTGAGAGAATGGAGAATGGACAGAAGGAACATGTACACAAAAGTAGAGGTCAGTTGGTGTGTACACATTCTGATGGAGTGGTACCAACTATATCAACAACCTTGAACTTCAGAGAGTCAATCATGTACAGCACAGAGGGAGGGGTTAACTAGTCTCACTCAATAGTAGCTCTCTGTAGGCAGCAGTTGCAGGCTGTAAATATCCAGGAGAAGGAAGTTGCAGTTGCTAGTTTTTGCTGGCATTGCCAACATTTGCATTAGGACCAGAGGAAGGCTTTGCCGCCCCTCTGAACCTCACCCTGAAAAGCTTTGCCAAATTCCTGTGGATCTGAGGCATAGGTCCTTGATAGGACCTTGTCCATGGCAGTATTATACATTCACTTCCTCTTCTCCCCACAAGGTGGCTCACAGCTGCCCATAACCCCAGCTCCAGAAGATTTGATACCCTTTTCTGGTCTGCTGACATCAGCAGGCACTTGTCCCAGACACAGGCACACATATAGACACACACACACACAGAGGAGAGAGAGAGAGAGAGAGAGAGGGAGAAAAATAAAGCTTAAAAAATAGGTTTTGACTTTTTGAAAACCTGAATTTTGTTACTAGTGTCTCAACATTTTTGAGTTTGCACTTTAGGATGCTATAACCTCTTTAGGACAAGTCTTCCCCTTTGCAAACTGCCAAATGCCATACCTGCACTGAGACTCGGCAAACCTGGTGTGTGAATGTGAAACTAAATTGTAGTTCAGACAGCACAGCAGCTATTTACTAAGCGGTTCTGTAGATATTATTATCATCTTCATTTTTATGTTAGCCATAGATGAGAGAATTTGAGGGGAATCTTTTTTTGTAGACTTATACTCAGTGTAGGAGTTAAACATCCCCTTCTATCAGATTTACTTCTATCAATTTGTTGATTCTTGCCATTTTTATACGTTATCATTATAGTACAGAAGAAAACTCCCATTTTGAATTCTATCTGTTAAAAGGGAATTGAAGCATATTGTCTTAGTTACTTTTCTGTTGCTGTGGTGATGAGACTCCATGACCAAGGATACTTAATGAAGAAAGAGTTTATGGGGGACTTAGAGT